GAGAGAGAGAGAGAGAGAGAGAGAGAGAAAGAAGGGAACCTCAGGAGCCATGTAAGCTTGATCAGGGTTGGGAACAATGGGAGACAAAGTGCCATCATAATCAAGAAAAATCACAACTTGTTTCATCTTTGCAGCACTCATGATCTCTTCAAACACACCCAATGCTGAAGGATGCTTCATCTGTTTCGAAAAAAATAATCAGTTTAATTATATTCTTAGGTTGCCGGAACTGTAAAACTGACGAACATCGATAAGATGCAGGATCACTTACAATCCAAGCTTTCTTATCTTCTGTATCTTCAGAAGAGTTTCTGGTTGGAGAAGAAGCTCTCATAGCATCGACCCATGCAATGTTCTTGGCCAATCCAGCATGTCCTCCGGCTGAGGAGGCAGCTGTTTCAATAGTACTCTTGGGGAACTTGTTTCTTGAAAACAAAGTGATGTTGTAAGGAGAATTGGGAACCGAGGGGGAATAGAGAGATGAACTATTGACGGCCACCGTGATAGCCATGCCAATGGCGGACTGCGTGTCGGAAACCACCGCATTTGGATTAGTCATTTTGATGAAATGGAAAGAGTGGAAAATGAGATTTTAAAGATTTCGAAAAAGAGTGGGAGAAATGAAGAGGAAAAGAGGGAAACACGCAATGGACTCGGCGGAGGAGGAATGAGGAGGTGGGGGATGTTGAAGGGGCGAATTTATAAGTAAATTTCATGGGAGAAATGGAGGAAGCATCCTTCTCTACTTTTTTTTGGCGAGTGAAAAAGGCATTTGGTAAAGTGGTGGTGGGACCATTTGAGGTTCATAAAATCAGTTTTATTAATCTAATTTTTAAGTGATTAGAACAAGTTAATTGGATTCTCTTTTCTAAATTCTTTTCATTATCTCAAGTATTTGTTTGTTTGTTTTTTTAATACTATTGAAAACAAGTTAATTGGATTCTATTTTGTTAAAAAATACTTTATGTGTGTGTAGTTTTTATTTAAAACAAAAACCCTTTATTTATTTATATATATATATATATATA